CCACCAGCAAGGAAGTACACATCAGACATTCTTATAACAAAGGTGATACAGTGGACTCTCGACTTACGAAGGTCCCTACTTACAAAAATTTCGAGGTACGAAAAGTTCCAGCCAAAATATTTTGGTTCGACTTGCGGCCAGAGCTTCGACCTGCGAAAGCCAGGGGGAAAGCGGGGTGGTTTTGGCTTCCCGGGCTTGACAACCCCCTTCGCTGCCCTCTGTCTCCCGTCCCTGGCACCATGGACNNTCAAGCCCGGAAAGCCGCTCCGCCCCCACTGCTGGCTTTCGGCTTCCTGAGCTTCAAAACCCCCTTTGCTGTCCCTGTCTCCCGTCCCCGGTGCCCTCTGCCTTCTGTCCCCAGAGGGACAGAAGGCAGGGGGCACCAGGGACAGGAGACAGAGGGCAGCGGATGCAGCTTTGGAAGCCCAGGATTTTTTTTCTTTGCCTGGAACGGATTAAATGGTTTTCAATGCATTCCTATTGGAAATGGACCCTCGACCTACGGACTTTTGGACCTGCGGCCACCATTCCAATACGGATTAATTCCATAAGTTGAGGGTCCACTGTATATCTCTTCTTGGAGTATGAATCACAATACAGATACACGTATAATGAAAAATAGCCTTTACTCCCAACCAAAGAGAATGAAGCCATGATCTGAAACTGTACATATCTTCCCAAACTAAAAATGTGTTGGGGTTATCAGAGAAAAGTTGCTCACATTTGTAACAATAGTGCCATCTACTGAATCATCTTTTCTAATAATTTCCACAACTTCTAATAATTTTCTTAGAATATAATCAGTCTCTAATATCAATCTGTTTACATGAACATAAGCCACTGAGAGACAGAGAAAAACCACACACCAGTCTTCTGCCTCAGAAATTATTTAATCATTAGGCACATCAGGCTTCTCAAATTAATAGCTGTATCACTGTAGTGTTTTCAGATTAAAATAAGAAATTTCTTACCAATTTTTCTGGAGTGCAATTTGTTCCACAGGTCACTCAGTTCTGCTTCCAGGATAAAACGCTAACAGGTCAAAGGCAGCAAGCATAATTTCAATAGTCCATAAACCTAACTTCTGAATTACATCCTGCAATATGAAGCATTTCTCTATCATACTTCCCTAAAACCAGCTTGTTACAGATACATTATCTTATTGGTCACACCTTCATCTAATAATCTGTTCAGTAAGAATCAAGGAGAGAATTACAACCAATGTGTAGCAGGACATATCTTAATAAAGATATATCTGATAAATGTTGGAGGAACTCTGGACAAAAAGGAACTCTGGAACATATGTGGATCTCTTGCCCCAAAATAGAAACTTTTTGGCAGGAGGTAGTTAGATGGATAGAAACACTGACTAATCAAAAAATAAATATTAATGAGACATTAATGTTATTTTCATTATTCACGGGGGAAAATGAGAAACTACAATATAAAGAATTAGTTGCAAATCTTATAGGCACCGCAAGATCTGAAATAGCTAAAAATTGGAAAAAAGCCCAAGATCTCTCATTGCAAGCATTCACAAGTAAAATATGGCATACATTGCTGATGGAAAAAATGACGAATAAAGTTAGATTACATAGAGGAGAAATAAGCCATACTAAATTGGAAGCCATTATTAAAATATGCCAACAAAATAGACTTTGAGACATGTGGTTTGAAAAGAAATTTAGATCGTTGGTCAATATTTCTTTAAATGGTGATGGGGAATGGTATATATGTGAGTTTGAGAAATGTGGGGAATAGCTTGTATTTACTATCTGTAACATGGTCAATTGTCTCTTCATTCTTTAGAAATATTTTGTTTAAAAAAGTGTAGCAGGACAGTGCACCATCTTTTCTTGTACACTTGGACCAGAACTGATACAAAAAAAAACCACACTCTACCAGAATAGAACTACATTTTTACTGTTATAGAAACAGAATGTATGCTTAATTAAGAGAAAATTCTAAGGATTCCTGAAGACAGGAATTGAAGTTAATTGTACATCATCTGTAAATTATTTTTGGTTTACCACAGCTGATTCTGAGAGTGTAATGTATTTTTGGAAACATATGCTGGATCCTACCGCTTGTGATGGCTTTGCAAGCAATATAAATTCCAAATACAGTAAATACTCTTTTCATATTTATTATTAAGATTTGATCTTTTACACATAAAAATTTTTAATCCAATGTAATCATTAATGACCTATTTAACAAGGCTCATAGATGCAGTTTTAAGATATTCTAATTCTAGTATTTGCCTTGATAGATTTGAAATTTTACTTTAATCTAGTATGGTAGCCATGTTACTTTGTTGACACAAAAACGACAGTGTTCAGCAGCACTTTAAATATTAGCCAATACTTTGTGCCTAAGGTTTTGTGAGCTGTGTCCAGTCAGGTGTGTGAAGAATAAAACTTGTTAATATTTTAAGTTGATCCATGCATTTTTATTATTTTCATTGTAAACCAATTAAAAATAGAGAATGAGAGAGACAGAACATTATTTGGTACCTGTCAGATATCTATTTGCTATCTATTAGAAGGAAAGGAACAAATTTCAACTTGAAATGTAGAAGGCTGTTGGCTAAAGCAGTATGTGATTTCTTATGTCACTGTAGCTGGATGACTGGAGACCAACCAAACCATCCTCAACATGGCAAGATGGCAGCGAGGAGTACAGTAATAGGATTCTCCTGAATCCAAAAAGATGCTCTGAATTCAGCTGCTGGGTAAAGGGTAAATGAAAGGGGGAACTCATTACCAGTTTGTCCTTACAAATGGGAAGCAGAGCACTTTGGATTTTTTTTTAATTTTTCAAACCAATGCCATAAAAATTAAACATGGCTAAAAATGTATAATTAAAATGAGGTTTTGATGGATGAGGACAGAGCAACAATGTGATATTTTCAATTCATAGTAGAACTGATTTCAGCAGATGGTCTACGGCTTAGTACAGTACCTGCTAAGTACCAGACTTTTAATGATGTCCTGATATGTAAAACCATAGAATTAAAAGAGTGTATACTTTCTTTTTCACATGACTGTAAGTCTACAGCTCTACCACATATTTTGGTCTATACTTAGCCAAGAGATAGTAAGTTGCTCTTCTTATACTGGATACCCAGTGTGGTGTAGTGGACAGAGTAATGGACTAGGATTCAGAAGGCCTGGGTTTGAATCCCCACTGAGCCATTTAAGTTCACTGGGGTGGGTGGAACTGGTAAAGCCAGTCCTTAAATATCTCACTTACTTTGAAAGCCCTATTAAGGTCATTATAATTCATTATAAAAAGTTTAAAGAATTATTGACAGCTCACAGACAGTTGAGTATTCTCACATACTATTTACAAATACTGAGAAACAATACAGTTAAAGTATATAATTTGAAATATGCAGTTTTGAATAGCAAGTCTGCAAATCCTTCATTTTTCACTTGATGCTATATTTCCAAGTAGGCAAAAATTGTTTAACAGATCAATTGGCCACTGAATTAGTACAGTAACAATGTGTTACACACAAAAATTTCAACAAATGAGAATTTTAACAAATTAAAAACGTTTTCCTCTACTTCCTCTTGTCTATTCCCAATGTATTCCTTATGCTTGTCACTCAAGATCGGTAACAAAATAGTTGATTTTTTAACTATTATTCAGCAAGGATCTGTTTGAATAAGGGTTCTATATACTGTTGGTTTCCATGGCCTAAGTAAACCATTTTAGCTTAATATATATTGTACAGCTCATATCCCAAATCAATTCAACAAGATTGCCTTTGGCAGCTGTGAAGCCAAACAAAAAGCCAGGGAGATAGCTGGAATGTGTAGGTTTGCAGAATGGAAATTCAGAGGAGGAAAGAAATAGAGGGAGCAATGTGAGAAGGAAAATACATATCAAGAAAATAAAAGAAATAATAATGGAAAGCAACAAAAAGTATTTTCCAATGTTGCCTAAAGCAGATCTGGGCAAAAGACAGCCTTCCGCAGATACTCCAATACCCCCTGATCAAACAGACCCTGTCCACTCTGTTTCCGCGAATCAGATACAGTAGCCCATATTTTATTTCGTTGCCCTTCTCACTCCGCCCTTAGATCTTCCCTGCTACACCCTTTTCTCCTAACCCTCCCTCCCTCTCTGACCCCCTCCCAATTCTCCTAAGTGATTACTTTCCAACCACTACCCATCTCGTGGCGGAATTTCTGTCAACTATTCTTATGAGAAACCGTAATCCCCATCCCTCCCAACTTCAGTTTTAACCTTCCCCCTCTTTACTTCCCTAGTTACATTGTCTATTTTTCTTACTGTAATCAAATGCCAATAAAGGTTTATGTATGTATGTATGTATGTATGTATGTATGTATGTATGTATGTATGTATGTATGTATGTATGTATGTATGTATGTATGTATGTATGTATGTATGTATGTATGTATGTATGCCTAAAGCAGATCTGGGCAAAAGACAGCCTTCCACATATTGCCGGCTGCAATTCCCAGCATAGCCCACTGTGGGTTATGCTGGCTAGAGTTGATGAGAACTGCAGCTCACCATCTGGATATTTAAATCTGTTTCAGCCATGGTGGTACCAAACCATGGCTTGATACTGGAAGGACATCTGGCAAGGAGCTACAGCCAAATTTGTTCCTTTGTTTGTATAATACACAAGTAGAGATGGGGGTATTTGTATGCAGGTATCCCCACACAGGTGGCGATAACAAGGGTCCAGCCACAGATGATCCACTCACTGATCTGCCGCGGACACAGACACTGTGATTCTTCTAGTGGCTCTGCAGATCGCAATCTACGAGCCACTCTTCGACACTGCAGTGAGGCTTGTCCTCCCGCCTCCCGCCAGGGGTGGCTAGCCAATTGTGATCTGCGGAGCCACTGAAAGAATTGCAGCATCCCCAGCAGCGGCAGATTGGTGAGTAGACCATCTGGCCCCATGGGGCTGGACCCTTGTTATCGCCACCTGTGTGGGGGATATTCGTATACAAATACTCCCATTTGGTATTTATACTTTACATTATTTTTAAAATTAGATGAATACTGATATTTTAACTGTAAATTTCTGATGAGGTCTATAGCTGTTGCTTGTTATTATTTCTTTACAATAGGGCATGTGAGATTGATACTGCCTCCACTTCTTTGAAAAAAAAAAAAGCTGACAATTTGCTGACCCTCATTTGATTTGATTTAATTTTCTGGTAGCTAATTGTAAGATAGTTGTTTGACCTACAAGATCTGGGTCTTTTTTAAGGTGAAGGGCAGGATAAAAATATTTTAAATAAATAATAAATACTATCTTTGAGTTTATAGAATTAATTACATTGTATGTATGCTCTTATACAGAAAGCACTGAGGAAAATATCTTGTGTCCCACACAGAGGTTAGAGGGGTGGTGAACCATTGTCACTCCAAACTACAACTCCCACAGTCCTCTATCACTGGCAGTACAGACTGGGGATTTTGAGAGCTGCTAGATGATGAACATCCTGGCTATATTTCACAAATGTTTTCTGTAAATTGTTCAGAATGAGGTAGCAATCTATTTCATAACTTCTCAGGCTAAAACAGCAACAAAAAACTATGCCAAAGATCAGACAGGTATGATCCAGACACCTTAAACTTTGTATTTGACAAAAGAGTAACCTTCTTTTCTTTACTACAGGAAAGATCTTGAACTTCTGCACTTGGCGAATGAAATCTATCTGGTTTAACAGTTCAATCTTGTACATATCTACTGATTTCACTGGTGCACATCTTAACTTAAGAAAGTGGTCTAGCAGACGGAGGACCTACCGTAAATAACACACAAAAATGCTAATACAGTTTATGGACTGTTGGTTTTTGGTTTTTTTTTTTACTATTTGAACCAATATGGTACATAAGAAAATGTCAGAGAAAGTGATTTATTTTACAAATTTAAATATAAAAATGAAATGTGTTGGACATACCAAGGAGAGAGACCTTTACACACATATATAAAAATAGTGTCCAAATTGTATTTCCTGACAATAGAAAGGACTTTGAAGAGCTACTGGTCTTTGTAAAAATGTCAGAAATACTTGAAGAAAGTATAAAATATCTTCAAATGGCCGATCTCCTCCCTCTCAGTTCAAAGTACCCATGATTACAAACTGGGAAAATATTCATAGTATAAAAAGACAATTTCTTTAAATTCTTACAAGAATGTCCAGAAGCACTACACAGTAGTTTCATGTTTCCACAATCCAGTCCTGATATTGCCTGTGCTGTCAGCACTCAATAAAGTTCCATCCTGGGCACTGCTTTTCGGTGGCCCATTTTGGACAGCTAAATTTAAGCCGTAAGATTTCTGCTGTCCTTCCAGTTCATCTACAATTGGTTTCCTCAGTACTTCCTTTTTGAGGTTTGTTGGCACTGTCTTTTCTGTATTCCTGTGTCCTTTCTGAAGAGTACTGCAGGTGTCACTGCTGTCTTGCTGGGACTGGTTATACTGCCGTTCCCTGTATGCCAAATAAGCTCTTCGGCTCTTTGAATGCCCTTCACTAATACTCTGACGACTTTTAGTCAAGCCATTCTGGAGGCTTCCTTCTACGCTAGTAGGAACATCATAAGCATATTCCCGCAAGACTGCAAGTCTGCTGGCACGGTGCCCTTTACTTCTGTTTTTGTGATGGCGGCCTGGATGCCCATTTGTTCGTAAAGGTACTTCTAAAGGGGCGACATGCATTTTGATCTCATTGTCTACTGAGTGTTCAGTAAGACTGTTATCAAGTGGACCACCAGGATTCAAGGCCTGGGAGCCTGGAGGACACTGAGCTGCTGCAGCATGTATGTTGGTCAATTTACAACCTTGAGAAGAATTTTTCAAGCTTGATGCACTCTTGTTAGTGCATGATGACTCTGCACTGCTATTGGTGCACTTGGCAGATTCTCCATTTATGCCACTTGCACTAGATGAAGGCTGAATATTAACTTGTACTGAGTATGTGCTCCTTCCAGGGCAGCAGGTTGTTATCCAAGCATGTCTAACATCTTCTCTCTTAATGCAATGATGTGTTAAGAGAAAACCACTAAGGCTCAAAGACATGACTCCAAAAAAGCAGCTGAAAACCAGATCCAAGGGGTAGCTTAAAGACACAGCAAAAGCCCCCAAAATCCACAAAGCCACATACAGGAATAAAGTAAGACTCACACCCAGAAGCTGAGCATGGAAACTGTGCTCATTTTCTAAAGCTGAAGTGGAAACTAGCGACACAGACATTGAGTCCTGATGGTGCAGGTTGCCATGTTCACTGGCTGCTAAACGCTGCTGCTCCTCAGCTGGCTCTTTAAGTTCAAATTTACGTTCAGGGTGCCTTTTCAGTTGTATAAATATGCTGAGGAAATACATGCAGTTCACAAAAACGATGAAGCTAGCAGGCCCATAAAATGCTCCCAAGCTTGGTTCCCATGCCATCCAACAGCTGCAAGAAAAGAAGCAAATCTTGAAAAAGACATCTGTATCCATTATTTAGAAATAAAATATATTTTAGCTGTTTAAGAGCATCTGCATCAAAGCATCAGGCTGTGTATCTGCATAGCAATTCATCAGTACTTACTATGCTGAGTGTGGTTTACTTCCATAATTCTTTATATTTGCAGCAGCTGTTATGCCACAAACTATGACAGGGATTCCTCCACCAATTAGGTAGAATCTAAAAAACAAATCAGATGACTAGCGGTTTTTAGAACACTAGATAAAATCAGACTTATAAACAGTTAAATCCTACATGCACTCACAAATAAGCTCCACTGAAATGGATGTATTTTTGACAATTCCATGATGTTCTGAAGAAATGAGCCATAAAATGCAAGAAAGAAACACACATCTTGAACAGAAGTTATTTAGAAGTTTACAGGAGTACCTTTGGTCACTTGTTGAGATTTAATTTATACAAATAAATAGACTGGAAATATTCACCTGTCATACTATCCCACTGCTTTGTACACAAATATGAGATCCTAAAAATATCCCTTGGTTATATTCAATGTGATGTGTATCCAAGACTTTTACAATCCTTACAAAGTCAATAATAGCTGTTTCTCTTTTATGGGCATCCTACACCAGTGTCTTGTTTCTTATACTATAGTTCAAAATATCTGAGGTGCATCATATTCGAGAAAGCTGCTCTATTAAAACTCAACCAGTCCGTGAGGGAGAAGACATGATGCTTCATAACTTTTCAGATACCCCACCACCTTTTTTCATAATCTAACAAAAATCTTTCTTACTAAATTGAGATGCAAATGAACATACTCTGTTCATAGGAAATATAGGAAACTGCCTTAAAGCAAGTCAGACTTGCCCATCTAGTCCAATGATGTCTACTCTGACTGGCAGCACCTCTCAAGGGTCTCAGGCAACGGTCCCTTCCCACAACCTACCTCATCCTTTAAACATGTGTTCTGCTATTGAAATACACTACCTCAATTCTTCTAACAATTAGGGTTATGCAGGGAAAATTTCAAACTGATTTAACTTTTGTACTTTCATGCTGTTACATGCTGCTTCATATGAACACAACATCCACTTTTCTGAACAATTAATACTGTGGGGTTATTAAAAAAATAATTTTGAAGAAAGCTGATCATTTTCTGCCACCTTGTGGACAAAGCCAGATTAACATAGTCTAATGAACACTGTACAGCTAGCTCATCAAGTGAAATAATAGAGTGAAGGGCTGGGGGAAAATCTGTTAAATTTGAGGTGGATGAAAAAAAGCAAGAACTAGAGTTTGATTATGTTGCTAGATTTCACCTTTCTATCGGGAAAGAATTACTCTTCTCCCCCAACACACACACACACACACAGAGAGAGAGAGAGAGAGAGAGAGAGAGAGAGAGAGAGAGAGAGAGAGAGTTCTAGCTTGATTCATGGCAGCTGACAATACATGAAACTCACAGTGTTATAACATGCAATAAAAGTACAGTAAAAATACAATAGATGCATGGACTGCAAGCAAAACATATGCCTTTAGAGTAAACAGTAAAAATGTAGCATTTATGGAATGATCTGCACCCAGTCAATCACTTTCAAGTGTGTAGAGCCATACTCCTACACTGTAAGTTGGCTACATGTAAAGTGATGTAGGAGGGAACGAAACGCCAAAGAATGCCATTATCAGAGCAACATTTACCTAAGAGTCAACATTTACAGTACCTCTACTGGATGGAGCTGTTCAAAGAAAGCAGTCTGTGTCTGAGGCCATTACCTCTGCCCCACTTGTTCAATCATCTGAAGTTAGTAGATGGTGATCAGTGATCACTGATTACAACAGGGCTTTTTTTAGCTCTTTAATCCTGTCCACTTAATTACCTCCCTCAAGTGATTTTTCCAGTATTAAGTTCAATGTCATCACAGTATGAAAGCCTTTAATATTTGGTTTTGCTTTAAGTATGACTTTGTTTGTCCTATTGTAATTCTTGCTTTTTTATTTTACCTGCTATGTGGTTTATTCCTGCAATTCTTTATTGATTTACTGCTTCTATATTATTTTAGTTTATGGCATTCTGAGAGTATTAAAGGTTGGTATAGATATTTTGAAAATTATTTTTAGTTTCTGGCCAGAATCCTATTATGCGTTGACAGTATAAAAACATAATTCCCCATGTAAAGTGCACAATCATTCTGGCTGGCAAGAGACTCGCACATACACAGATCACACATGTGATTGTGCACCTGGGCATGTGACAGCCAGCCAGAAAACTGTGAAATCCACTTGTGCAATTTCCCTTAAAACACCATATTTCATAGTACAATTTGGACTGTCACAGAATTTGAATCATAAAAATGGACTGGGAAAAAACCAACTTGACATACATCAATTTATTTCTGTTTCAGCAATAGCACTAGAAGTTGAAACTAAAGTAAAAAAAATTCAAACAAAACAAACTCATCCTGTTCTTGGAGCTTACAGGTGTTCTGAGCATGCCAGTCATTTTTACATGTCTCTGTTGGAGCAGCATCCCAACTAAGGAGTTTAATTCTTCAGCTCAACAGAAACATTAAATAAAGCAGAAAAAAACTCTCACCTAAGCATTGGCCTAGGAGGTGGTGGAGGTTCATCAGGATCTTGACACCTTTTTACTTTCCTTGTTACTTGCTTATAAATGTTTCTAGAAGTGACTCCCATCCACAGTAACGTGGCAAGTGTAGAATAGTGCAAAATTATCCCAACCTGGAAATTGTTTTGAAACAATAGTAACATAAGATTAAAATTTATATTTTAGCACATCACATGCTTAATATATGGTGCAAACACTCTTTCTTCCACAAAATGACCATTCTCCTAAGCAGATACTGATTCCTTAATTCCCATGAGTTCATTGAAACAGGCTCTTCAAAATATAAAATTCACATAACAGATACCCCTATTGGCTAAAATTCTGCAATTATACGAAAGGCCCCTAGTAATTTTTCTCTTAATGAATAATCTGATGTTTGTTCCAAACTGCATTGTTTTATCTCTTTTCAGAGTAGTAAAGGCAGCTTTCAGAGAGCAATTTGTTTTCCTTTGCAGGTATCAAGAGTACAAAATACCTGCATATCATGTCAGCTATAAACCGTGCATATTATATTGTTCATTGTTAGTTTCTTTAAAATATGAACAGGAAATAGATCTGATTCCGCATATTTTGCAGCTAAAGCATATGCTGCATCTTTGAATTTTAATTATTTTCAAATTTCTAAATTGCTGCTTTACCCACATAACATACACATACATGAATTAGAAGGAAGGCCAGCCTATGAAGGAAGATTACAGGAGCAAAGAATTTCAGAGATGGCGTTAGGAAGGCAAAACTTGAGAATGAGCCGAGGTTAGCAAAAGATGCTAAAAGCAATTTAAAAACATACTTCAGGTGTAGCAAGAGACAGAAAAGAAACTGTTGCTCAGCTACTCAATGGGGATCAATGGGGATGGGGAAATGATAACAGATGATGCAGAAAAGGCAGAAATGCTCAATTCCTACTTTAATTTGGTCATCTCCCAAAAGACAGTCTATGACCCTCCAGACAAATGTGAAGACCAAAGGGAGGGGATAGGATTGCACCTTGAGATTGATAAAACAAATAGTCAATGGATAATGTGTTCTCAGAAGGCTTCCACGGTTGGGATCTGATGGTTGTTGTGGTTTTTTCAGGCTCTTTGGCCGTGTTCTGCAGGTTGTTCTTCCTGACGCTTTGACAGTCTCTGTGGCCGGCATCTTCAGAGGACTAGAGTAAGAACTCTGTCCATGCTCTGTTGCTGTTTGTTGGATAGTTGAGTATTTATAGCTGTGGGAACAGCTTTTGTCCTTTTCAGGAGATAGGGTGATCAGTGTGTTTTTGTTGTGATAAGGGGAAGAGATTATCTATCACTGTGATTAGATAATCTCTTCCCCTTATCACTGTGATAGAGATTATCTATCACTGTGGTTCTCCTTCATGGATTGCTGCCTTGTCGTGGCGAAGGGGCTTGAGTAACTCAGAGAAGCTATGGGCTATGCCGTGCAGGGACACCCAAGACGGACAGGACATAGTGGAGAGTTCCAACTAAACGCAA